GAGATGGATTGCTTAAGTTTAGAGTTTGGAGTTAGAGATATTAATATCTGTTTACTTGTAGTTGAATGTTAGCCTAGGTTTGGTTTGGGAAGTCTGGGGGGTAGGGGGATGGGATAAATCATTGTGTAATACTTGTGATGTATTTTTTCGTTTATGATAAAAACAATAAAATTTTATATTGAAAAAAAAAAAAAAAAAGAAGAAAACACCACTTGTGTTCCTAACGTTTTGGGTTTCCTGCCCAGTTGCTCATAGTCCCTTGATACTGTTTTCAGGCTCTTTGCTGTATCATTCATCCCAACATGAAAAAGGAGAAAGGGATAATAATCTGTGGGTTTGATCATTTCAGTAAGTCTCTCTGTTAATCTTTAATCTTTGCACCTGGGAGCCAACACACTTCTCTAGAAAAATTGTCTGATCTACAAACTGATGGCTCTGTTCCTCTGAGTTGTGAATCTCCTATCACCAACACGTGCCTTTTTTCTTTGGGAAAGTCGGAGTTGCTTTTCTTTCTGTCACTGGAACACTTGATGAAGTTCCTTCCCCAAATGTCTGCATGCCTTCTTTCAGGGTAAGGATATGAAATTGCTTATTCACTGCAGTGGAACTGGACTGGACTAGACTCGACTAAACAGCAGGGACAGTCTTCTTGATTTTTTTTTGTCCTCCAAGTGACATACTCCCATCGGTCTATCTCTAGGTTCATTTTTCCTGGTAGTTGTTTGTTCCAGATCATGAGTAACTGTCTGAAGGGTTTCCTAGTTGAAGAAAGGATGCAATTGAAGTACCTGGTGAGCCTGTGCAAAAACCGTTCTGTCTATAGCTGCCACCTGCTTTCTGAGCAGTAGCTGTAAGTGCAGAAGAACCCAAGCTGCATAACAACCTTGAATGGGGAAGTGCAAACCCATTCAAGACCAACAATGGTAATGTTCAAATCATAACACGATGAAGAAAAGATCCAAAAATGTTTTAATTTGTGACAGTCTTCACTACAAAAATAATTCTTATTGTCCCTATATAAAAAAACAACTCTTTATTATAATTGAGAAATGCAAATTACTGACCTGCAATAGGTGGATTTGTTCTTCATGGGCAACAGTCTTCATCTCCAGAGCCTTCTTCTGTTCCTCTACCTCTTGTAAAACCTCCATCTTTTCAGTCAACTCCTTGCTTAGTTTATTATAATCCTGAAGCAATTTAGCTAGTTCAGTATTTTGTCTTAATTAAAAAAAAGAAAAGAAATATAGATTGTATTAAGTTGTCTTGAATATAATTCTAAAATGTGGCACCGTGACTTGATTATACAGGTAGTCTTCAAATAATAATAATAATAATAATAATAATAATAATAATAATAATAATAATAATAATAATAATAATAATAATAATAATAATAATAATAATAATAAAGTTGGAAGGGACCTTGGTGGTCATCTAGTCCAACCCCCTGCTCAGGCAGGAAACCCTATACCATTTCAGACAAATGGCTGTCCAGTCTCTTCTTAAAAACTTCCACTGTTGGAGCATTCACCGCTTCTGGAGGCAGGTCGTTCCACTGGTTAATTGTTCTAACTGTCAGGAAGTTTCTCCTTAGTTCTAGGTTACTTCTCTCCTTGATTAGTTTCCATCGGTTGCTTCTTGTCCTGCCTTCAGGCGCTTTGGAGAATAGCTTGACTCCCTCTTCTTTGTGGCAGCCCCTGAGATATTGGAACACTGCTATCATGTCCCCCCTTGTCCTTCTCTTCATTAAACTAGACATATCCAATTTCAGCAACCGTTCCTTATATGTTTTAGCCTCCAGTCCCCTAATCATCTTTGTTGCTCTTCTCTGTACTCTTTCTAGAGTCTCAATATCTTTTTTACATCGTGGTGACCAAAACTGGATGCAGTATTCCAAGTGTGGCCTTACCAAGGCATTGTAAAGTGGTATTAATACTTCACGTGATCTTGATTCTATCCCTCTGTTAATGCAGCCTAGCACTGTGTTGGCTTTTTTGGCAGTTGCAGCATACTGCTGGCTCATATTTAAGTGATTGTCCACTAGGACTCCAAGATCCCTCTCACAGTTACTACTATTGAGCAAGGTACCTCCTATACAATACCTGTACATTTGTTTTTTCTTGCCTAAATGTAGAACCTTACTTTTTTCACCATTGAATTTCATTTTGTTAGATAGCGCTCAGTGTTCAAGTCTGTCGAGATCCTCCTGTATCTTAAACCTATCTTATGATGGCAATTAGGATTGGAATGTCTATCACTTAGCAACAGAGATTCTTGCATTCCAGTTGCTATCATTAACTAAATATCATGATTGTTAGGCAAGGCAGCTTCCTATCGGAATCAGTAGGTGAGTTGGCAACAAGTTGTAAATTCCAAGCCGGCAAGTAGATAAGTGGTTGCTGCTGGATGGGGAAGGGAGTGAGGGGATGCATGAGAAGAAGCTGCAAGGGTCAGGGAGGTGTATGATAGGGGCGTGTGAGAGGTGTGAGGGATGGGGATGGTACACAAGGGAGTGCATGGGAGGCACGATGTGGGCAGGATATGCAAAGGCGTGAGATAGTGCATGAGAGGTTTGGGAAGGGTATGCAACAATGCAAGGAGGTGTAATGGCTTCCACAGATGATGGCTTGGATGACAAGAAAAAGCCAGCACCAGGGACTTCAGAGTGGTGCGGAGGACCATCAGGAGGATGCAGGAGACTCAATGCCAGAAGTGGATAAGCAAGAGGAGGGGAAGCCAGGAACATCAGAAGGGCCTGTGGATGAAGAACCAGATGATTGCCTGGCTGAAGAGCCAAGAGGTGAGACATAGCTGCAGCCAGGGAGCAGAGATGACCAAGCATGGCAGAGAAGAGGTGCAGCTGCAGCAGATTCCAGGGTGCATAGAACCGAGCAGAGGGAGGCACAATAAAGGCCAGTGAGTCTACTTGCGAGGAGGCAGCCTCACCCCTCCTGATGAGCTGTACTGGCTGGTGCCTACTTAGCCTGACATGAGGAGCAAAACAGTGTTGGAGACAACCATCTGTTTCCTGCCATGTGTGTGCTCCAACTTTGTGAACTCCTGCTTCCAGACCTGTGCCTTATTACTCAACCCCATGTTTGAACCTTGGATTTTGTGACTGGATTCTGGACATGTACCTTGGTTTTGGATATTGTGTTACAACTTTGGACTTGTGCTTGGACTCTGGACTTTGTGTGTGGACTTGCGGACTTGTGTCTTGATCTCAGACTTTTTATTTGCCCATTAACTTCATCTGGACTTTGATTTTTTGGGAACCTGACATTTCTACTGAGTGGGATTTGGGGAATAACATTAGGTTCTCACAGTGCCTCAACTGAATATTCAAAACTCCTTGGTGTCTGCATGCGTGGTCTGGGACAAGATAGGGGTTGTGCAGAGGCACAGTATGGGTCAGGTGCCTGAATGTGTGATGTAGACCAGGAAGGATGCATGAGAGTGCAAGGGTCTATGGGAGAGATGCCGCATGGAGGTTGCAAGAAAGTGTGTGACAGGCACAGCAAGGTTAGGGAGGGTATGTGAGGATGCAGCGTGCATTGGGGAGTATGCAACAAGATCACGGAGTGCAATGGTATGTGAAAAAGACCTGGAAAGATGGGGCAAAGAAATGGTGTCTAGGGATTGGTCAGACAAGAGAGGGAATAATCTGCAGCTGCATAATGGGAGAGAAAAACACTCAGAAAAGAACCCTTCCTAGATTCTCAGACTGTAAAGGTGGGAAATTAGTACTTTCCGACTTGCAAGATTCAGTTAATGTAGCCTTATAGTAACGTAAAATTAGCTCATTTGATCATGTTTCCTGCCTTGGAAGGCTGACAGGAATGGTGTGCTGTTGGTGCACAAATGCGCAAAGGAGTGTGTGAAAAGTGTAGCATAGGTGGGGGAGAGTGCGGTGTGAGTCAGGATGTGCAGGGTTGTGCTGTGAGTTGAGGAAGGTATATGGGAGTGTTGAATGGCTGGCACAGCATGAGCACAAAGGGCCTGGGGGACAGTGTGCAGGAGACTTAGCCCAGAAACTTGCAACCTTCCCTGACAGCTTCCCCATTGACTTTCTGAGGAAGCCAGTAGAAAGGATCATATGATCACAACACTCTGCAACCAGTTGTAAGTATGAAATGTTTATCAAGCACCCAGACTGCAATCTCATGACCTCTGGGAAATTGGGAAAGCTGGAATTCCACAGTCTGGTTGTAACTACCAATCATTCAGCACCATTGTAACTTCAGATGGAATGATTATCGGTCAAGTACTGCCTGAAGATTTAGTAATATTACTTGAAACATGCATTTTTGATCTCAGATTATTCGTGCATCATTCAAGAATAAATATTTAAATTATATTATCTGAATATTTTCAGGGCAGAATTCAATCAGAGAAATTAATGCTTAATATTAACATAATCTACTTCACAATAAACAGCATCTATGAACTGCATAATTCACCTAAATGTGTCACATAGTTCTCCTACATGAGTCAAAAAGATTTAATTAGCTATATGCCTTACACTGAAAGCCAGTATTAAAAATCCTATACTCTATTCCTATTTTTCCCTGTTCTCTTACATACATTTTTATGGCACAGTAGTTAATTAAACTGGTTTCAGTTTGCTCTGAAGCTTTCTTACATATTTAAAAAGACATTTATAAAGTTAAATTTATCTACAGTATCTCCTCATAATTCCAAAGTAATACTTCCCATCTTACTTGTGTTCAGTCTGGCTTGTTACTTGGTTTAAAGCATCTCTGAGAATGCAATTTTCTTGCTGCAGATGATCATTAGTGCCATTCTGCAGCTGTTCTTGTAGTGTTTGAATCTGAAAACCAATTAAAAAGAACATGAGAATCACTCCCAGTTGCTATTTAATCTCAGTACAATGGCACAGGACAATATTCCTATAGTTCATGTTGACAGCAGCAGCAGGGATGTTCTCTAATTTAGGCCCCTAAGGGTTTCAGCAACAGGGATCTCTTTTTTACTCTTTTTACTTTGCAGTACCAGAATCAACTGACATGGGAAGATATACATAGTGAAATTTAGGATTTGGGGCACAAAGAATTGTGAAATTGCAAGTATGAATCCTTTATCAACTCCACAACATATAACTAGTTTCAATAAACATCACAAATAGTTTGGTAGACATCCCTTAAACAAGTTTAATTAGGGCACGCCAATATAATCATATTGAACTGCTTTAGATCAGACCACTTATCACTCTTGCACAATATTCTCTAATATCCCACTTAAAATCCATCTAATTAAAATGTATCTAAATCTTAAGTTTTACTTATTCAATTTAATGTGAACCGTCCAATTTACAGAGAATCAATAGTATGTTCAAAAACCAGCATTTAAATTTTGTTTTCTATAATTTATTAAAGCTATGCTATGAAAAGAAAAAAATTCTTTGTGAACATGAGAAAAGTAATTGGTCTGCTCAAATTTTACAGCCTCTTTGAGGAGGAGGAATGAAAATATGGAGAGGGAATATGACAATGAAAAAGTTATTTTTCCCTTTTCCTTTCTTTCTCAGAATGTGTGTATATGTGTTTATATTTTTACTTCATTTATATGTCAAGTAAATGCCTCAGTCCAATTTTGGTAGAAGGGAACTTTACAATTCTGTTCATCATCAAGACTGGAATATGGGGGACTATCCAGGAACACAGAGGACTGAAAAAAAGTTGATGTAGTTCTAATGTTCAAAAAGGAGAAAAAGTGAATGCAGGAAACTACAGACCAATCAGCCTGACATCAATATCAGAAAAATCCTGGAAAAGATAGTGAATAAGGTGATTACTGGAAGCCAACATGGGTTGTTAAAAACAGATGATGCCAGACAAACCTTATTGCCTTCTTTGACAAAGTGACTAAATTAGCGGATCAAGGAAATGCTATGGATATCGAATAAAGGCATTTGATAACACAGACCACAGCCTACTTCTTGGTAAGATAGAATAATGTTGGATAGGCAGTACCATCACCAGATGGATTCCCAGTTTGCTAACCAAATGTACTCAGCATTAGTCCTCAATGGAATTACATTTACATAAAGGAAAGCATGCAGTGGGGTATTCAAGGTTCTGTCTTCGGCCCAGTGCTCTTCAACATCTGAAATGATGAGAGGATTGAAGGGGTGCTCATCAAATTTACAGATGACACTGAATACTGAGCCTATTCAACAAAATGCAATTCAGTGGTGAGAAAAGTAAGGTTCTACATTTAGGAAAACCAAATGGATATGTATAGAATAGGTGTTATCTGGCTCAACAGTAGTAACCATGAGAGGGATTTAGGAGTTATAGTGGACAACCATTTAAATATGAGCCAGCTGCCAAAAAAGCCAATGCAGTCCTAGGCAGCATCAACAGAGGAACAGTATCAAGATTTCATATTGGTGCTCTTCAACATCTTCATAAAGGACCTCCAGTACATGAGGGGATTGAAGGGAAGCTTATCAAATTTGCTGATGACACCATACAGTTAAAATTCAAAAGGATCTTGACAGACTTGAACATTGGGTCCTATCCAACAAGATGCAGTTCAGTGGTAGGAAAAGTAAAGTTTTGCACTTAGGCAGGAAAAAACAAATGCATAGGTACCTGGCTCAACAGCTGTAACAGTGAGAGGGATCTAAGAGATGTAGTGAACAACCACTTAAGTATAAGCCAGCTGCCAAAAAAGCCAATACTATCATAGGCTACATCAATAAAGGAACAGTATCAAGATTTCAAACCAGTTTGAAGATTTGGTCTCCCAAAAGGTAGAAAAGGGAACTAGAGAGTCAGCCATACTGGACTTAATTCTCACTAACAGAGATAAAATGGTGAAAGAGGGTTGAAGTTACAAGAATCTTGGAGAAGAGTGACTCTGCAATATTGGACTTCAACATAATGTAAGCTCAAGTGTCAACTCTACAATGAGCCTGGCTGCAGCCATCTTTCTCTTCATTCTAGGTTGCCACATAGGACAGAGGGAGGGGGGCTTGCCCAGGTGCTTCACTAGTCATAATAATCTTCTGTCCCATGGAAACCAAGGTTACCTACCACTCCTGCGATCAGGGATTGGGCGTTGTATAAGAAAGCCCGCCAAATGAATGTATTGGGGAACATAGTGATGGCATATTTTTGTGGGTGGGACATTATACTTTGTAACTGGAAAATTTTTAGTGGGAATTTCAGACTTGGTTTCACTTTTGATCGTGCTGATATTTTGTAACTAATAAACATGTTATTTGAGGAATTTTCAAGCCTCAGAGTTGCACTTTATTTGTCTCTGTCTGTTGGAACCATGACAGAGCAAAGTCAAAGTAGAGTCTTGGATTTTAAGAGAGCTGATTTTAACAAATTCACTTAGGAAGGATTTCATGGATGAAATCCTCAAGGGGAATCCAATCAAAGTTTGGGAAACTTTGAAAAGTGAGAATATAAAAGCCCAGTCTAGCACTCTGAAGAAGAAAAATAAGAGATCTCCAAAGAAATCAGCATGGCTGCACAAAGAAATCTCCGATAAACTGAAAAAAAAGGACAAGTATAATTAAGGCAGAATATCAGCATATAGCCAGAACCTGCAAAGATGAAGTCAGCAAAGCTAAGGCTCAAAATGAACTAAAGCTTGCAAAAAATGCCAAAAACAGTTTTAAAACGTTTCAACATATAGAAAACAAGAAAAAAACTCAAGGAAGTGATTGTTCCATTAATGGGAGAAAATGGTAAGAAGGTGATAAGCAGCAGGGAGAGAGTGGAACTGCTTAACTCATTCTTTGCATCTGTCTTCACGCAAAAAGAGAAAATAGTGCAACCTACCAAAAACAGAACCATAAAAGAAATATTAGGAATGCAAGTCAAAATAGGCAAGAAATGATAAGGGAACACCTATCCACTCTAGACAAGTACAAATCACCAGGATGGATTACATCCCAGAGGTCTGAAGGAACTAGTAGACATGATCTTGAAACCACTAAGCCACATCTTTCAAAGAATCTGGGGCACCAGGAAACTATCAGAGGACTGAAAAAGAGCTGACGTGGTTTCCATCTTCAAAAAAGGGGAAAAATGGATCCAGGAAACTATAGACCAATCAGCCTGACATTAATACTTGAAAAATTTCTGGAAAAGATAGTCAAGCAACAGATTGAGAAACCAACATGGGTTTGTAAAAACAGTTCATGCCAGACAAACCTTATGGCATTATTTGACAAAGTGACTAAATTAGTGGACAAGCAAAATGCTATGCAAATAATTTACTTGGACTTCAATAAGGCATTTGATAGCATAGACCGCAACCTATTATTTGATAAGATAGAAAAATGTGGATTAGATAGCATCACCACCACATGGATTAGTAACTAACTGATCATCTGCACTCAACATGTAGTCCTTCATGAAACTGCATCTACATGGAGGGAAGTATGCAATGGGGTATCTCAAGGTTCTTTCAGTACTGTTCAATATCTTCATAAACGATTTAGATGAGGGGATAGAAGGGGAATACTAGTTGCTCCTTTTAAAATATGTGGAGCACACTGCCAATGTACCATATCAGCTGTTTGTTGGCAGGAAGGAAAAAAATGCCATATTGCTCAGCATGCCATTTCAGGAGACCTTCTTGAGATCTTTCAATGCACTATTGTTGCTCCTTTGTCATACCATTGTTTATAGTCAATTGTGCAATCTTTTTGCAGCAGCTAACCCGGTGGTCCACTCTTCCTTCAGCTTCTTTGCAAAGGGGCATTTGCTGTCTGTTGCTATCTTCTCAATTCTGGCTTTGTATGCATTTGTTCTTAAGGCTTGGTCTTGTGCCAGCCAGAATTAGCCTGTCTCTTTCTTCAACTTTCCTGCTCCTAGGCCAGGTCTTGTTGTTATCTGCTTTATTTGTTATTTTGTAGGCCATTTTGGTCTCTCCAGTATTCAGTAAATCTTCCTGATATACTAGCTTCAGTGCATGGTCTTCACTATCCTTAAGACATTCTTCCAATGCCATTTTTTCTTCTTCAACCATCTGATGTACTTGCAACATTCCAAACCCAATTATTTTCCTTGGTAAGTAGAATCTATCAACATTGCTCTGAGGATGAAGGGCATGATTTATTATTATTGTTTTAGTCTTCCTACCCGGTGATTTACTTCCCTCTTGAGTCCAATACACTATTCCAGCTGTGTCTAATGACTGGAATTGCCCAGATATAACTACGTGTGTGTGTGTGTGTGTGTGTGTGTGTGTGTGTGTATGTGTGTGTAAACATAATACAAGAAAACTACTCCACACCATCTTTTGTTACGTGAATAATCTGGATATTTATAATTGGTGGATCTATCCATGTCAGAACAGGAACCCATGACTGTTCATCCATCTAAAGTATTGGCAATGAAAGGTCCTTGGATGAAAGATTTAGGGGGAAATGGCATCTAGGTTGTAACTGAGAAAAATCTGAGTATTTTTTTTTACCTCTGTTTATTCTGATTTGCCCCTAATGTAGTGTCACTGGGTGTTTACTGGTGTAATAATCACAAACATTAACGAATTAGTGAAGACTTCCAGTTGGCGATCGCAGCCCTGGTGGACATATGGAGGCGAGCCTCGTCTCCAGCGTTCAGTTTTATCCCGCTGGGGGACCCTGGAAAGGGTCAAAAGTCACCCTGTAGGGGCGACGAGCAAGGAGAGGACCCCTGCTTGATCATGGAAGGGCGGTAGCCCTTCCGCTTGATCTGGGGCAGCTCTTCAAACTGACAGGGAAAAGACTGGCCATAGTAATATGGCCCGTCACTAAGCTGCTGACAGCCGAAGTCAAATTTACTACCAAGCACTTTGAAAGCA